GGACTGCAAATGGTGCAGCCAATCTTGAAAGCAGTATGGAGATTCCTTGGAAAACTTGGAATAGAACCACCATTTGACCCATCTATCTCACTCCTCGGTTTACACTCCTTGGTTTACACAAAGGACTTAAAAACAGCATACTACAGGGACACAGCCACTTCAATGTTTACAAGCAGCAGATACCCTTCAGTAGATGAATGAATAAGGAAACATTGATATATATATAATGAAATATTACTCAGTATTAAAAGAGAATAAAATCATGGCATTTGCAGGTAAATGGATGGCGTGGGAGAACATAATGCTAAGTTGTATACTTTGTATACAACCAGTGACTTGAAAAATTGTACTCTATATGTGTAATATGAAATGAATTGCATTCTGCCATCATGTAATAACAAATTAGAATAAATAATTTAATAAAAAATAATTTTTAAAAAAGAAGGAAATTGCATATTTTGTGACAACATAGTTAAACTTGGAAGATGATGTTCTAGTGAAATAAGAGCCACAGAGAGACAAATGCTGCCTGATCTCACTTATATGTGGGATCTTGAAACAAAAAGAAATAAAGAAAAAAAAAAATAAAGAACTCACAGAAGCACAGAGTTCACAGTACCAAGGCCTGGAGGAAGGGAAGCTCAAAGACATATTTGTCTGATGAGGAAAAATTTAAGTTAGGAAGATTAAGTGCAAGAGATCTATTGTACAAAATGGTGACTATAGTTAAGAATGTGTTACATACTGGAAAATTGCTGGGTGTGGAGTTGAAGTGTTTTCCCAAAATAAGTATGTGAGGTAATGCATATGTTAATTGTCTCAATTTAGCCATTCTACTATGTATACACATTTCAAAATATCATGTTGTACTTGTTAAATGTATACAATTTTATGTCAATTTAAAAGTAGATGAAGATAAGTAGTTTGAGATAGTTATTACTGGAAACAAATTAATTTAAAAAAAATATTCACCCTTGGTCCCCACTCCAGGCATACTGAATGGGAGACTGAAGATTTTAAGATCGTCAGGTGATTTGTGTGCATAGTGTCTTGAGGTATGGATAGAACGTGTGGTCTATGTGCAGTATTAAGATTACCTGGGAGCTTTTTAAAAATGAAAATTCCTGTTTCACCTCCAAGGCATGTAGCATGGGTGTTCATGTGTGCCTGCACTCTTCAAGTGACTTATACATGCTCCAGGTTTGAGAACAAGTGGTTAGAAACGCGTTACTCTATGGATTTTAATCTAGGCCTTTCCAATGACTTTTGACCTTCTACAGCTTGCCTTTTGGTCATCTAATTGCTAATTCATCTGGAATGAAAAAGAAAAATAAAGAAGAAACTAATCATTCTTTTCTTCCCAATCAGATGTATGGTAAAGAATTTGGAGGAAGCCATGTAATTAGAAATATTTAGGATTATCGATGGATTATAGTACTCCACTTAATACATTTCCTCCATTGCCATGGTTAATTAGGAGTAAACCATAAAAGCATTCCTCTAGAAAGGCCATTTAAAAACAGTGAAATGTTGTCATGTGCAATAGAGAATGACACATATCATGACTCAATAAAATACTATTTATTCCCTGTGAGTTTGAAGAATGCTGAGTTTGCCCAAGCACAAATCCTTTCAGAATGCTAGAGAGGGATTTTATTTTTGTGTCCTCTTAGACTTTGCAACATTGCAACTTCTTCCTAATTCTGTAGAATTTAGCAGATACTAGGCATGACCAGAAACCAGAACATTAGTTAGGTCACCTACTCATTAGTGCATACCTTGATCTTTGAATGGGGTGTTTTTTTAACATTCTGAAGAAAAAAGAAAAGTTCACGAGAAAGTACATGTAAAACTCCAAAATTATAGAGGCTTTTAGATTTTTGTTTGAAAAATCTGAAAGATCACATTTTGTTTCAGAAATTTGTACTCTATTTGAAAAGATGTCTACGTGCCAAAAGAACATGCTGCTCACATAAATAACAACGGTGTAATTTTAACATTCTCACAAAAGCTATAAATGTTCTACCTCAAGGTAAACATTTTAATTAGCCTAAAAAGTTATTTTTCTTAACACTACCAGCAACTTTGCCCACCCTCCCCCTCCCCAGACCTGCTAAAATGTGCCAAATACAAAGTATAAGGACAGAAGTAGCAGTTCATGTAAAGCAAGATAGATGTTTACCAGGCAGACACTACAGAGGTTTGGAAAAAAAAAAAGAAAGAAAAGGAAAAGAAAAGAGAAAAAAAAAATTGTCCTTGGAAGTGCAAGCACTTCTGCAGAACAATTAACTTAATTAACCAGACATCATGAATATTCATAAGGCTGTTAATGTCTCCCACATCCAAACAGATAAATGTGATGTAATGACTTCCTAGTCAAGCATATCTAAAATTCTCATGAAAACAGCACCTACACTTTGGTTCTTTGCCTGAAATATCATAGAAATTAACAGTCCCTCGGCAATATTTTATTCTCCTCAAATTAATTGGAAAGCATGAATTTATTTATGCAAACTCTATAGGAATATATAGTTCACAGCCATCAGTATGTGGATTGAGCCTTGTTTTACAACAACTGGATTGCTTTTTTATTTTTATGTCCTCTCAGGCTTTTTCCTCTATCTACCCCCCCTCCCCAGTTTTAATCGGAATCTCTCTGTATAGTTCCTTAGCACCAGTTCCCATAGCAACAAACACCATTCCTAATGGCCAGCAGTTCAAATACAGGCTTCCCCACATCTGATCCATTTGAGTCTGACCATAATTCAGCAGCTTAGTCTGTTGGCTCAGTGGAGTAATTTACTAAACACTCTCCCTCTGGGTGTCTCTCTCCAGGAGGCAAATGGCTTCAAAGGCAGACTGTCTCCTCATGTTCAGCTTGGAAACTTCCTGCCTAGCTCTTGTTTCCATTCTCTATCAAAAGCCCTGACTAGGCATAGCATCCTCATATTAAATACAGCCCACACATGACTTTCTCCTCCTATTAGATGGAATTAGTAAGCTGGAACTCCTATCCAACAACCAGAATTTTGGCAGCATGCTGTCATCTTTTAAACAAAAAGCATTACAATGGTGTTTCCACAGATACCCACTGAATACAATTTATTTTTGAAATTAGAAATTTGCTTTAAAATTATAAAAATGTAATGCTATTTCTTTATTAAATCATAGTTGCATATTAAAAACATAAGCATAGCTAGCTTAGCTAAGTGCCCACTTTATGCCAAATGCACACTTCTTGGGACACCCTTTTCCAGTTTTGATGCATGGTAGCACATGACCTCAGGAATTTAGGCTCTAATGAAGAAAAACAGTGACTTACTAAACACATCCATTTTGCATGGAGGTACATGTTGGAAGGGTTACACTAACTGCATTCAGAACTACAAAAATGATAACAACAACAACAAAAGACATTTAAAAAATCCCCAAATAATTCATCTTTTTCCTCCTTTGAATTGAGGTTATTTGTTATCTTCCACTTATGGACCATTATAGATTTTTCTACATATAACTTACAATTATATCATAATTTATCCTAATAATCTCCATTTTTACATTCTTGCTTTTATGATTTTATACTCTCAAAAGACATTTGGCTATCTTTGGTCCTTGGTCGATTTAGCAGCAATATTAAATATTCTAAAAATCATGGCTATCGAATGGAATAAATTTTCTTCTAACCATGTGCATTTTTTTCAGAAGGAAAATATTTTTCCTCCTTTTAAAAACAGGGCATGATGTTTTAAGAATGAAAAAAAATCAATTTCCTTCATTGTTGTTTATTTAAATAATAATTTAGGGTGAAGCTTGCAGAAAGTGTTTTCTTTTCTGGACCAGGGTTTGGCTCTAGCAGTTCTCCCTGGCTTCCACCTCTTCGTGCCCACTTCCAGTAATGATTCCACGTCTTGCTACAAAATGGATTCTCCTAGAACAAACTCCATCAGCTTGCTCCCTTCATCTGGAGCAATCCGTTGTTCCCTACTGCTTTTTTTTTTTTTAATAATTTTTTAAAATATTTATTTATTTATTTTTTTAGTTTTCTGCGGACACAACATCTTTCTTTGTATGTGGTGCGAGGATCGAACCCGGGCCGCACGCATGCCAGGCGAGTGTGCTACCACTTGAGCCACATCCCCAGTCCCCTACTGCTTCTTAAATACAATTTAGACCCTGTGGCTTCAGTCTGGCCCATTTTGACACTATTATCTCCCATCCAATGGCCAGTTTTCCATTTCATAAACACTTCTGGGTTTTGCCGTTATTATTTTTTTAGCTAAAAAAATAAATAGCTTACTGTGATCTTTTTAGGCCAGAGAGCCTACCCACTTTGAGGCCTGATTCAATTGCTATTTGCTCTAGAAAGTCATCTTTATATTCATTCACTTGAGACACTATCCTGCACTGTGTTATATTCTCTTCCAGGCATTGGAAATATGGTAGTGGATGGAAAGATAACCAGTCTGGCCTTGATGGAGCTCACCCTCTAGGGCTTGGATCCTCCTTCTAGTTGGAAGGAATCTTTGGATATTCAAGGTTTTCTGATTGTAGTTCAATTATAGTTCAGTTTCACATTTTACCTTGTATGAAATTAAAAACATTTTGACTGATGGGAGCCCCATTTTGAAACTTCCTGTCTAGTACTACGTAACCATTAGACCTGTGTATGGAAGGCAGAATAATATTAATTTCATCTATTGATTGTTTAAACTATGTTCTTAACCCATAGTACATGCCATCTTATTTAGTACTACAACAAATCTGTAATGAAGTAAATATTATGAATTATCCCCACTTTATAGATTAAAAAAAAAAACTAGGCTCAAAGAGATTGCATTGTTCAAAGACTCACATTTGCTAGTGGAGATGCCAGAAGTTAAGCTTGGGTCTTTCAGACTCAAGGTTTATACATTTATCTTGTGTCATATTGACTAGGTTAGGAAGTAGGAAAGGGAATGATGGAGGAGAGTCAATTTAGCATATACATGGCCACCCCTTGCCTGCTGGTATTAAGCCGAGTGGAAGCTGTGCTCTGACAGGAGTTAGGATTTGGTCTGTTTCTATCCCAGCACTCTTCTGGGCTCTGAGAAGCAAAGCATGGGCTACTTCACTAGCAGATCCATCTCCACCAACACAGACAACACTAGAAAAAAGAAATTAAACAAAAGCAAGAATTTCAAAATAATTGGTAATTACTCACAAAATCTAGACTTCTGAATATTTTACTAATCTTACATAGTCATATGCAAGACTCATACTCACCTTCAATTTGTAGTATAATCAATGGCTAAGAAGACACAAGCACTGAAAAGGTAAAGTTACTTTAAGTGGAAAACCTAGATAGTCCCCACAGACAAAATATTTTTATGTGCATTGAGGCATTAAAACTTTTGAACATGTTAATTCACATCTTTCAAAAGCATATAATTCTCATTCTGTTTGTTAATAATACTGTCACCTACAATTCATTTCACACCAACCAAACTCATAAAATTTAGCTAATTCTCAATAAAACTCTGAAATGACAGCAATAAAAAAATCATGTAAAATATGAAGCTTTCATTGAAGGAACTGCTAATTATCACTAGTACATGAATATACTAATTGCAAACCTGACCTGGTTTTCATTACATTCCTGCTATATGCACTTCTAAATGTACTGTCACTACCCTTTGATTGTAGACAGTACTGCTAATTTTTTTTTGAAATATTATGGTAAGTAGATTTGGGGGGATAAAGATCCACAAAACTGATATCTGATTTTTTTTCACAGTACTTCTATTTAAAAGATGCAAAATAATCTTCACTATCAAAATGCCATCAATTTATCCCAAAGGAGGAAGATTTCTCATTAGGGAAAGTAGGTGTCACAACTTAAGGCCTACAAGGGTCAGCAAGAATGGGAAAGCGTGATCATTCTGAAGAGGTGGCAGCTTTTCTACTACAGTTCATTCATATCATGGGGGAGGCCTAGCAAAGGCAGATAGGATTTTTCTAGTGAAACCAAAGATTCTGATTTAGTAAATCAGAATTTAAATTAGTAAATATCCTAATTTATAAATACCAGCAACAAGCCTTTGTTACATTTTTAAAAACCAAGTGCCAAACAAAACAGCCTATGGGGTATAATCAGAGAGAGGTTCTTAAATATACTGAAAGCATCACTTCCTTCCACCTTCCAGTCCCCTCTCCTAATGGTGGTCACACCCACAAGGGCTAGGCAATCCAGGTCCGCTGTGGTTATAAGAAAGATCCAGCTTTTCTTTCTTTTCTTTCTTTCTTTCTTTTTTTCCTTCATGGCATTGTCCTTACTGTTTTATGTCTGAATGAATTCCAGGTTTTTACAATGTGATGACTGATTCAGAGAAAGGGGATACTATCTGTTGGATGTGAGATGCCTCCCAAAAGCTCCTGTGACAGACAATGAAAGAAGGTTCAAAGGTGAAACAATTAGATAAAGTGAGTTATAATGAAATCAGTAGATTAATCCCCTGATAGGAATTAACTGGCAGGTAGGGTGTGGCTAGAGGAGGTAGTTTATGGAAGTCATGCCTTTGGGATATATATTTTATCCTTGATGAACTGAGCACTCTGCTTGTCATTGTTGCCATATCTTGAGCTGCTTTCCTCCTCCTCACTCTTCCACCGTGATATTCTGCTTCATCTTGGGCCCAGAAAAATAGAATTGGTCAATCTTGGACTGAGACCTCTGAAACTTTGAGCACCCAATAAACTTTTCCTCCTCTAAAATTTTTCTTTTGGGGACTTATGTTCACAGCAACAACAACAACAACAAAAAAAAGCTGACTAAAATAATTACCTACTAGGGACAAACTATATGTCAGATATGCTTATCATTTACTATTAAATCCTCATAATTCTGTGCACTAGCCATTGACTCCATCTTTATAAATGGAGAAAACAAAGTGTGGTTTGAATATTTCCCATTGATTTAAAAAATCTCCATTAGATTTCCAAACATTCTATGAATTTAGTATAGTCCATATGATCCATACCAGTATACATGCTGATATTTATGTGTGATCTAAAAGGACCACATAAAGTCATCCAAAAAGCATTTAATTTTGCACTAAAGAACTTGACTCCTATGTACACAGGATGGCAATACTCAACTCCTGGAATCTTGCATACAGTTATACCATTGGGCATCTGTTAACTCATTACTGGAGTTAGCAGAGATGGCCTTTCCATAGTATGCTCTGCTACAAAAATCTTTGAAATTTTGTCATAACATGCACTGTTAAATATTTTGAAACTAATAGTGAATCATCAATATATAAAACCACGCACTGTTCTCAGCACTCTCCTTGTGTTACCTCATTTAACTTGAGCCATAGATGTATACAAGAAATGCTATGGCCTCCAATTACAGATTAGGAAACTAAGCTTAGAAAGATTAAGTACTTTTTCCATGGTCATATCACTAGTAAGTGGTAGAACAGGGATTTGAAACAAGAAAATTTGCCCTTAAAGACAGCACTATTATTCACTACATTCTTTTCTACATAGAAAAAACAATGAAAGTAGCCTCAGGAGAATTTTTGTTACTTTGAAAATTAGTTTGAAAACCCATAAAACCAGACCAAAATTGAATGACTCAGGAAGATATATATTTATTTATGTCAACTACTACTAGATCATTAAGGTTATGTTCGGGTATAGTTCTTCAACCTAAGGGATAGACTTAATTAAGGCTTAATACAAAAACATCACAAGAGGTTGCATACCATAAGAGAAAAAAATATTCAACTTTTTATATAAATTTAATTTAACCACACTTAAAAGTTACTCTAAAACATAAACCCTATAGTAATTATTCCTTTCCATATGGAATATCTTCTTGTTTTTAGAGTAAGTAAACTCCTTATTGCCATGGCTCCATGTGGAATGATTTAGTCTAGAAAAGTAAAATTGAAGGATTAATATTTTATTTCCCTTTTGAAATGGTGAAAAGGAAAAAATTTAAATAGCAGCTTATAAATTGATCTATTAACTGACATCTTTAAAATGTTGAGTACAGTATTGGCTTTTGATTCAATGTTTTTCATTTTTCTGAAAGATTTATTTATACTTAAGTAGTATAGATATCATGGTCAAAAATTTAAATATTAGCCAAATAAAATCTAGATTATTGTGGGTCTAGTTAGTAGTAGAAGGAACCAAAGAAAAAACTAATTCAACAAACTCAATACACTGAAACAAATAGCAAATACTTAGTAAATTTATAATTTTCCATGGTTGTAAAATCTACAGATTGGTTTAAGTATGTTCACATTTGTAAATGTAACTGTTAGTGCTCCAAATATGTGCAGTTAATATTACTTCCTCTTCATGACCAACATAAACGGGCAATATAGAATATGAAGTTCCTCCAAGTTTTAGCAGTGGATCTAAGTGTTTGCTAGAACACACCAGAGTGAGCACTAGCTGTTATGCACACTGATGTGCTATTTCTGTGGGCTTTAGAAACATGTCACAATTTCATAGAAATATATATAACTCATTAAAAGTACCCTAAAATCTTGGGAAATAGCATTTCTTAAATATTATTCATTAAATCATTTTTCTTTGAGGATAATATCCATTGAATTTTTCTTGGCTCTCTCTAGCTTGTCTAGAAGCCATTTATTGACTTCCTAATCACTTCCTATCAATAGCTCCACTAGAGTAAGGAAGAGATGCTTCAGGGCAAATTTCTTAAGATAATGTGAGCTGATCTCCTATCAAAATGAAATAGCATCCTGGGTTACCTTATCCCATCCTCAAACTAAATTTTTTGAAAAGTGCTTCTATGACCACTCTTAGAACACAATCAAGGACAGGAAATTCGCCAATGCAGAAACTGGAAATCTATGTTCCTAAATGCTTCAAATAGTTCATTTGTTTTCATGGGTTTAGTTTTACCAGTAGGAGCTGGTGATCAGGATAATTATCTTAATAAAATGGTAATTTTTAAGTCCCCATACTTAGAAATATAGAAAATTCTACTTCTAGAGAATAATGCTTTTGAAGTGCATAATGAATGAAATTATGTTTTTATTCTTCTCCCCATATACCTCTCTACATATTTCTATGTATGGGGACTTAAAAATTACCATTTTATTAAGATAATTATCCTGATCACCAGCTCCTACTGGTAAAACTAAACCCATGAAAACAAATGAACTATTTGAAGCATTTAGGAACATAGATTTCCAGTAAAAAAAGTATAAGTCCAAAGTGCATTTGCATATTATAGGGTTTGGAAATAGTTAAATCACCAAACTCATTTCATTTATTGGTCAGATCAAACACCCTTGGCTGAAGAATATACGAGTAATAACTAAGGATCTAAGTATCTCTTAGCACCACAATTCAAAACTGTAATGGGAAATAAAGAATTAAATATGTTCAGGTAAAGAGAAAAATATTCCTAAACCACATTTGAGCAACAGTCTTTCTTCAGATTCAGCAAAGTTCTTCTTAATCCTTGCCATACCAATAGAATACATTTATAGATACCACATTGGACAGAATATTCCATATCACTGGTGGGCAACTCCAGGGTTAGTATCTATGATACCTGTTACTCTTATCATTCACATATTCAAGTTTTAAAGCAAAGACTCTTTTTTGTAATGCAGCTACCCTCTCGTATTCCTGGCTCAGGACTATGCAGCATATTGAGGGAGATGGTGGGCATGATTCTCCCAATTACTTTCCTTTAAACTATTTTAAGAAACAGTTTAAAGATAATTAGCTTAAATAGCTTTTAAGATAATTTCCTAAATGTAGCTTATTGCTCCTTCTGTTTGCTTCTAAGTACAAAGTTCTAAAGTAACTGCCTATCTTATACTCTTGATCTTATGTGATATTGCCATCTAGATTTAGTCTTCTCTATTGTCTTTGTGCTAAATCATATTTTACTTACCAAACTTTCTTCTTCATCAGCTACTTGTTTTCTCATCAAACTATATTAAGCATTTCTGAAAACAGTACTGCCAATGCTTCATTTTGAGCACTCTCTTCCCTCTACAAATATGAACATTTCTTTAGGAAGATTAGTCTTTCACATTCATAAAAACGGAGTCTCAACTGCCTTTCCTGACCTTATGGATCCTTTGTCAACCCCTGCTCATCACAATGTGACACAGTTAAGTCATACACCACCCTTTTAAACTCTCAGATAGCCCCTCCTGTAAAAAAAAGAAATAATTCTCCCCTGAAGTAATATGTTTTAGTCTTATTCATCAATCTAGCACTTTTGCAAATCAATTTACCTGATTTTTAAAAAGTGCTATTAAGTGTGTGTTGTTTGCCTTGTTCCAATGTTCTAATATTTCTAAAGTTGACATACCAATGAGAAACCCTGCATACTCCCGCAATGCATTGGAAACTTGGAAATACATCATTCTGGAAATAATTTATTTGTTTTTCCAAAATATTTACCTCAATCAGTCGTAGCAAAATAAATTACTAGGTAGATATTAAAACTATTAATAAATTTACAGGAGAGAGCCACAGCACTAATAACATATAACCAGTATGATATCATCTTTCAATGTTTTTCTAGATACTCACATGGTAAAAGCACAGAATCAAGTATTATATATGCAAATGTATGCACATTAAATAAGTATAGGGCAGTACACTGTGATTTTTTTCAAACTTAAAATGAGATTTCTTTTTGCTTTTCTATGCTAGATCCTGAGAGGTGGAATGACCATGACATATCACCATAAATTTTTATGTAGATATGAGTAAAATAGATTAAAATAGAATAATGACATGGAATATATATTATATATACATACATATCAGAAATATTTAAAAATTATGGCTCCCAAATATGCAGCTAAAACCTAACAAAAGCATGGAATAACATAAGCTATATGATATATATATTAAAATTATTAATATAACATACCCATCAAATCCCTGGAGTTCACATTCCTTAAGCAGGGACAGAGCATGTCCTTTATATTCCGTTACTATTAAAAAAACACACACACACACACACACACAAAATAAAAGCTTTAAATAATGTTCTGCACTTTTTTTTAACTTGGTTTGGCAAAATAATATGATTAACATATGGTTGGGTCATAAAACAACACTTATTCTTGAATATTTATATTTTAATCATAGAAAAGAGGCTTACATGTTAGTTGCCTGGTGTATTTTATAGCTTTATGCAAAAGAGGGTCACATATTTGTTCCAACTACATAAGTCATTTGGTGATATCCAACACAGAGTAGTTAGAGAATTTATCTTGGTGCCTGTCTGTTTAGTGTTCCCCAAATAAGACACATTTCCTTTAAATCAGAAGCTTACGAGCAGGAGTATTTTGAAAATACAGCATATTAGCTGGCACTGAACAGTCAATGTAAAATCACTTTGGCAACCTTACATGAATAAATTAGTTGAAAGGTTAGTGGAAGATTTACATACCAGAAGAATGTGTATCTGGAACTGCTAGACTGAAAAAAGGAGGAGTTGGATGTGAAAATATGAAGTCAAGCCAACACCAGTGATAAGAGACCCAGTCCAGGAGGAGGGTGGCACACAGGCCCACCAGAGCCCCGATCCTCCAAGGAAATGAGTCTGTCACACCGTATCGCTGTCTCCACAGTCACTGATGCCCTGTGCAGTATTGTAAATGCCAGTGAAGACAGGATAAACGGGCACACTGCAGATGGCACCAAGCATCACAACCACATTTAGCATTTTCTAGGGGAGCTCTGCCAGAAGAGACAGCCCAGCTGTATCCACCCATCAAAGATTTCTGCTGACTGACATGACATTGCAGATGGATTTTTTGTGTAAGAATGTGCATCATTATATGCAAGATTACATTAATCTTTCATGCCTGTCTGTCCCTGGTGCCAGCATGGTTCAAGCTTCTCCTGCGATGATTTTAGATATTGTTAAAAATTATTAGTCTTGGTGTCTAAGAGAATCATTCTGTATCCAGCAGTGTTACATTATAATTCTCCCACAGCTTATTCAAAATGCTGCTAACATTCACATGAATAAAACCTCTCTATATTAAATTCTAATCAGAAGAAAACTATAATAAAGCTAAATATAAAATATTAATATTAATAAAGTTGGAAGGTTAAGTTATCATAAAAGACGTGTGCTGATAATTCATTTATAACCACAGTAAGTAGTTGAAACCTAACAATGGGAAATAATGTCTGACATAGACACATTAAAAATAATTAAGGATATTATGAAGAAATATTTATATTGAAAATCAGTTTATCAAGTCTTTCTTGGTCTGGTGATGAATCGGTTTATCAAGTTTACTTTTGGTAACACTATTCAAATCCAATACAAAATTAGCCCAAAATTATGTTATATTTGTATGTCATTTTTTGTTTGGGAACATTTTAAATAATTTCCTTTGATCTTATAGGTGATAGCTGACTATATACCATGCAACCTCTTTAAAAATAAGTTTTAAGAGATATTGCATAAGTTAAATAAAATCATTTATCTGGATAATTTTTTAAAAATCAATGAAAGCTGACTACAAGAAAATATATTAGCAGAAGGTACAAAATGAAGAGTCTTTGGCCTCAGGGAGTTTACACTCTGGAGATAAACAGTATACACTAGTTATAAAACAAATATATGGAGTAGAAATAAGTGATTATAAAGAAAATAAATGTAGTGCAGAAGAATAATGCATGATTTGGACTACTATTTGAAGTTAAAAGAACCAAAATCTATGTTTAGATAGGCTGTTAAGGACTGTTGAATCAGAGAGCTGAATTCAAATCATCCTACACCAAATAAATATAAAGAGTAGATGGCTAGGAAAATAAATTTCAAAAATGTATATAATCTAATCTCTTTTTTTTTCAGATCCTTTCCCTTTCCTATTGGCACTCTGGGCTCTTTTTACATGTGGATTTGGAGTCTTCATAATTGATTGGGTTTTTAACACAGTCCCGTACTGGGACCCGTACTCTTCAGTGTAGGTATTACTCCTACAGGAAGACAGAGGAGAGTGGTGTCTTGAGGTTGACATTAAGTGCTTAAACTGAATTTGAAAATAAAATCAGACGTGATCTGATATGGACATCAGGAAACATTTCTTGCTCTGGAGATAAAATTCTACTGTGGAATAGGATACTGAGAGGTCAATGTCTTTCCTGTCCTACAGGTATTTCAAACTCACTTAAGAAGTGAACTCAACATGTCCCCCTTAAGTATACCATTCTTTTTGTGTTCTGTCATCCACCCCCAAGGCAGGAAACAACTCCTCCTTGGTTATCCCTCCTCTCTCTGGAACCACTCTGTGGCCAACACTGTCTATTAACCATGCACCTTTCTCCCTCACAGTTGATGCTGTCAGTCTGGGCATTATCAGTTCATGTGTGTACTACAACAGCCTCTTCTCTCCAACTTCTGTCCCACTCTAGTCAGAATGGCCTCATTGAGCATATTTCAATTAAATCACTCATGGCATAAACGTCACTGATGACTCTTTATATTCCAAATTTTCAAATCCTTGAAATATTCCATATTTCAAACTTCCAACTTTCTAACCCACACAAGTGTTAGAAACAGGATTGGACATATGCACTCACAGTTATTTAAGTTGATAAAGAACAACCTTTCATTCAGAATTCTCTTTTTCTAGCTGGATATGATGCATGAACACCCACTATGGTCAAAGGAAAAGAAGTAAGTTTCCAGGCCTCTAGCACCTTTTAACTCGGTTTCTTCAGACTGCTTAGCATTCTGCTATGTGTGATCAGGAATGACAAGAGGTATCTCCAAGGAATGAAAGGATTCAAGTACAGTCATTAAGAGCCCAAGAGAAACAACACAAAGAGTCTCAGTGAAAGGGTTAAAGGTTAGAAGCATTATGCTAGAAGGAGAAAGAAGAAGAAAATGATAGAAAGGAGGGTAGGAAGGAAGAGAGGTAAAGAAAAGGAAACACCTCTTAGCCACTTTCTGGACAATTCTTTCCAAGAGGTAAAATTATCTGGGGCCAGGCACTCCCATGGGCACTGAGCTGGCGGAGGTAATGTTTGCATTCAGAGAAGTGTCTTGACCACAGTAAGTTCTGTCATCTGTTAATACAGAGTGAAGAAGATGGATGTGCCTGTCAAGAACAAGAGAGATCAAGGGCAGACAGATATCTGTCTTATATTTCGATGACACTTATACAGCAGGTAGGATATAATTATGCTGCAAAAGACAACATTAACTCTAGTAGATGACAGAAGGAGGGGGATGTCAGCTCTCAAGTTCCCCATGGTGTGCAGTGTGCAGTTTACGCCTCCAACAAGGGAACATGGCTGTAGAGGCAGGTGACTTGCAACACAGTGCTACTAATGGACAAGCCAGGTGAAGGTGGGCTAAATTAGCCCCCCCCCAAAAAAAAGGTACCTTTTAGTAAGTCAGTTCAGAGGAATGGCTTTTCTACTGCATTCAAAGGCACAGTACATGTGAACACAAGAACATCAAACAAAACTGTCCAGTAAAAGTTATTATAAATCATAATCAGTTATTATAAATCATAAGTAAACATAAATAAACAGTTATTATAAATCATAATCCACAAGGAGTGCCACACACCTGCACTCCACTACATGGGGAAGCTGAGCTGTGTGGCCGCTATAGTTTTCTTTACTCTTGTTTTTTCTGCTGCCTTGACTTATGCACTGTATTGTTCTGTGAATTCTCCTATAGCTCATGACACCTCAGCTGTTATTAGATAAGATACTACATTGGGGATATGGGGTATCAGGGAGGGGGGATCATTTTCACTCGAATATTTCAAAAGACGTCCATCTATATTCAGAAGCATTTAGGGTTTCAGCATAAGTCAAAATAAAAGGAATAAATATATTTTTATTAATGCGATGAGATTCATTTCAAAAAGAAATTTATGGGAAAAAGACTTTTTAATGTATATATCTAGCAGCAATTTTTCTAGCCACGCCACCTATTTATATAGTACTATTTCTTTATGAATTAATTACCATACAAAAAATTTTTTAATGTTAATTCATATTCCATTTGGATTTACCAGTGCCCAAAAAGGATATGTTAAAACAATGAACATGAAGGTATGCATTCTTTTACATTACTTTTCATATTTTTTTCTTTCAAATAAAGTGAATTAAATATTACACAATTTTATGAAAATGAAACTAATAATCTTGCAACCATTATTTCTATAGCATTTTATAATACATAAAGTAGTTCTACCAAATAACATTTTAAGGTAGGAAGACTAACAAAATAGGAATAATTTTTATGTAAATATTTAGCCAATATTCATGCTAACATGGCTTAATAAGCAAAGGATGCAATTTTATAATTTTGCCTGTAGGAGGAGTGTTAGGCAGCTAATAATTAGACATTCTATATAAATATAAAAACAAATTCTAAATTTCCATTATGAAAAAAAATCTAATTTTGTGTTGAACTGAATTTAATGTTTGGCACTACTTTGAAATTTTTAAGGGAGAAAAAAAAACAGAACATGGTATATTCTCTCCAACACAACTGGTAAGAAGCACATTCCTTTTATTTCCTCTGCCTTGGTTCAGACTTCACATACTGGTTTCCTTTTCTCCCAGAGCTCTTTTCCTTTCTAATCTTTATTCTGATAGTGGAGTCATCATTGGCAAACCTGATTACAACTCTGTGATTAAAGACACTTGACACCAACTGTGGATGGATGCGTGAACAAACCACCATGTGTAGCACCCTGACCCAGTCACAGTCTGGACTAGCCTCCCATGGGACACAATGGTTGGGAGACTTCCCAGGAGCCATCATGCCTTGTGTTTCCCCAGAAGAACCCAAATCCCCTTTAGTCATCAGCAGTCTTTTGGAAAAGTCTACACTTAGTCCCTGAGAGAGTCTTGATAGTTAGAAGAACGAGTGTTCCAGGTTGGGTGCAAATAATATAGTAGTTCAACCAACCCTGAAGAAAGACATGTTAATCCATCTTTAGGATTGAAGCATGTGGGGTCTCCCTCTCTCACATACACTTAATTCTCCCTATTCTGAGAGGTATGGATAAGAAAAGATCCAATTCACTGGCAGTTATTTTTGGATGGTGGAAAGAACTAGATTTAAGATCAAAACTAGGAAGGTAGAGCAAACTTCTAAAACATGCTCTCTCTCTCCCCTGCCTTCCCTTTCTACACTTTTTGCCTCCTTTGTCTCTCAAGAGCTGTCTAGTGAACCTGCTTTACTTGAGTTCTCTGATCAAAATTAATATCACCCTGAGATACTATAGTTCTCTTATATATACCACAATTATAATATTTGGTTTTAATTGTCTTTTTGAATCCCTATAAGAGTAACTCAAGAAGGGACATGACAGCTTTATTTCTCTTACATCTTGCAGTGTTTAACACAGAGCAAACATTCAATGAGACAATTTTTTTGTTTTCTGAGATGGAGTCTGTGTTGCCCAAGCTGAACTTGAACTCCTGGGTTCAAGTGATCCTCCTGCCTCAGACTTCTGAGCATCTTAACTGTGGATGTGCACCCTCAATGAGAGATTCTTGAACTGTATGTGATATCCATGTCAAATTGTACTTTAGTGTTCACATAGAAACATACAAGATAAATGTTATTGAGTTTTAAATGAGTTTACTCAACTTTTAATACAGTCTCATTCCAGTTGGAATCTTCAAATCTTTCTTTTGTCTAATACCTGAAAAATTTTCAGTAAAAAGGATAGATCTCTGAATTTTCTCTTTTCCTCATATATCATTTCTAAGTGAGCCCCAAATCACAAACACAAAAGGTTAACTTTTATGACAACTTTAATTCAGAAATTTTCCACTCCAGGTTTTCATGACAGTTTCTCTTTAACCTCCATTGAAGCAGATGTTTTCTGGGGTGACTGAACTTCCCCCAAAGCTTGCCCCTTTTCGGGAACTTCCTTCTACCCAATCCAACAAGTCACTGGGCTTCACTGACCTTATTTACATCGTGCAACCCATCTCCCTTGGTTACAGCTGAGCACAGCCCTTCATTCTGAATTCCTTCCCCAGGAACTCAGAATTAGGAGTAGGAGACTCCAATTGTGCTCTGGACTTATTTCTTGGGAGGTTATTTGTGCAATATTCTTCATCAATAAAAAATTATTGCAAATTTCCATTGTGTTAATGAAGCTACACAGAAATAAAGCTAGAAAAAATTGTGATTCTTGATAGTATCAAACACTTATTCTCAGTGTCCAGCAGTAGGAAAGATGCGAGTCTTAAGGAAACAAAAGAATTTGGTCATCACATATAAAAACTCAAAGAGTATTACTAATCTCCTTTCTATTAATTTTAACATTAGAAAATTTCTATTTCCCTTAGTATAAAGCTAAGGGAACATTCTTATTTTAGACAATGAATTTAAGCTTCTGGTTTCTCCAAGTCTGACTAAAACCAGCAACTACTTGCTTAGTTTTGACCTAACCAGCAGGGGTCAGAGTCAGAACAAAAACAACCTACCGAAAGATTCCATGGAAAGACATCAGCTATATAAGGGAGCAAAAATCAATTGCTTGCCAAACTGCAGAAATCATGTATAAATAGTAAACATCTCATTGAAGACAACAAAAAGTACACAGTTTTCTTTAAAATCAATCCTAATAATTGTTGGAAGACTGGAAACATTCTAAAGAGAAGACATTGATATCTTAATAAAAATAGCTCATTAAATAAGGAAATATAACCACTTATACTTCTGGAACTGACCAGAGTTATAGGAACAACTTCAAAAGCTTCAGATATTACAAAAAGCTCTGCAAGTTTGGATTAAAAACAAATTCAGGTTATCTGGCTTTCATAAGTGAGATTTTCAATGATAAAATTCCACAATGACAGTGACTCACTTGTGACATCAGTCTTTATCCCTGCAAGCTTTAGCAGAGGTTCCACCTTCTCATAATAGACCTGGGTAGCTTCTTTTTTGTGACTTTGGGGGTTAAGGAGTATTTTTAATGACTTTGGCCTGTTTGAAAAACCTGAGAAGAAAAAGATAAAGTTAGATTGTCAACAATTTTTCCTTCCATTTAAAATGACAATGTGAAAGTCCATTAGAATGTTATACACACATTTAAATGGTATTGGCTATTTTTATTCAAAATGCTTATAAGTGTATTCCTGGATATGACTATCTTCAAACACTTATGTTTTCCTAATAACAAAGTAGGCTTATTTCTCTTGAAATACATCATGAGATATCACAAAGCACTTAATCTATGAAGGAAGGTATAAGTAAATGCAACTCTGTGAACATTAGGCAATGTTTATGTACATTTACCAAATCACAGATATCAAATGTTAGCATTTTTTTTTCCTAGAGAAAAGTGATGAACTGTAACAAAGAAGGGTACATCTCCCCTCCTTAGATAAATATGCTCATTATTGGAATTGGGTAGCCCTGGTGACCCCAGGGCTACCAACGTCTGACCTACTGATGGGCCCCAGGCAGAGCAGAGTGAGCAGAGTTGGGACATGGTTGGCACCCACAGCACTGCATACTGGTAGCTAAAAGGAGGGGTTTAGGTCAGAGTTCAAGCCCAAAAAGCAGCCAAGGGAGGAAAAAAAATCTTCTCCAGGGAATTGGGAAAGCAACGCCTCTCAGCGGGGAGTCGCTGATGGTGCTGCCTCACAGTTGGGGCTGAGATTTGATACTACAATTTTCTGGGCTTGCAAGATGCTTATCACTGAGAACCCAGTTGGAGCAGGTGCAAAGCAAATTTTCTGTTGTTAGGAAGGGGCAGGAGCCAAAAGAAAGCTGACAACCGTTTCTTTGATGGTAAGCTGCTCTCAGAGGGCCATGATTCAAGGCTGCAAAAGCAGTTATTAACATCCGGTTTTAATAAAGAGAAGGGAAAAATATCTATCACAAATGCAAAGTCAGTGCTTCCTACCTCAAGTAGAATAATATTTTATTTGTTATATTTGATAAAATGAGAATCTTTTGACAGCACATATTATTTTGAGTTTAGGGAGCACTTGAGAGGAAAAACTAGACAGAGCTATGCTGAACTTCTTAAACATTTCCATCAAACTGCCCAGGGCCTCTACTGTGATAGGAAGCCTCTGTCAGGCTTCCAGTCACCTAGGCTGAAAACCTCAAAACCACTCTCACTTTCTTTTCCAAGTTCCTGCATTTGAATGAGCGCTCAGATTCACAGGGAACTACTTGCTTTCATGCCTTCTGCACTTTCTCACTGCCATCCTCTAGTTCAGGGGTCACTGCACAGGCACCCTGGCTATTCTCCCCTCGCTGCATCCTTCAGCATCACAGCTCTGATCAGTGCCTCACAGGGCAAAAGCTGCCATAGCTCATCACAGCCTGCAGAGCACACCAAACCCTTAAAACAGTCCTTTGAGCCCTCTTTTCCCCAATCCCAACCTTTCTCTTTTCCTTTCTGTCTCAGGCATATTCAAAAAAACATGGAGCATTCATGCTGGGGAGATGGGGAAGGTGATTAAGACCTGGTTCACGCTTCAGAGGAAGAAGACATATCCACAAATGCAAACAGCTCAAGACAGTATTGACTGCTAACAGAACGGCATGCATAAGGTGGGCCTGTGTGAGAGCAAGATGCATACTTCTCATTAGGCATCTGGAAAAGGTTTCCAGAAGAAAGGAGTATTGAATGGGGCTTTGCCTCATGCAGTTTCTACAGCCTAGAATTCCTTCCTTCATTACCTTTCATCCCACTCCTCAGCAAAGGGGAAAAGGTAGAAATTCTAGGCAGTGAGACTGGCCTGAGCAAATGCATGAAGTTAAGTTAATCTAAAGGGTTTCTATGTTTCATTTTAATTTCCTTATCATGGTCCAGACCACTGTATTTGTCACCAAATACCAAGTCTACTAGGCCTTCCCTTAGATGGTTTCCCTTTCCAAATTGTACCCCATTCCTATTTTTAATCAAAATCTTTCAGAGCTTGTTCCAAATGCCACTTCCTCACTGAAGCCTCTCCTAATCACCAACTGAGTTCAGTCCTCTCAGTTCTTGGCTCCCAAGAACTATTTCTTATATCATGTGGAGTTACACTGGTCATGTGAACACATGAAAGTAATGTCCAATTCATTTTACTGCCTTTCCTATTCCCATTTTCCCTCCCTTCCCTTTATTCCACTTCAGACATTGAATTTCTTGACCACCCAATTCCACGAGTAACTCTCACATCAAACAAAAAAGGGCAAAAATGGAAAAGCTGATTTGTAGAATAATTAATAATATGCAATACATTGTAAAGGAAGTGAAAAATCACTATTTTAAGTCATTAGAGTAATATCCAATTGAGACAGGAAGCAAGTAATGGATGCTAAAACCATCCTGTGATGATCATTTGGGACAAAATATTTATGTATTATTCTTTTTTTGAGAGAGAGACAGAGAGAGAGAGAATTTTTTAATATTTATTTTTTAGTTATTGGCGGACACAATATCTTTGTTTGTATGTGGTGCTGAGGATTGAACCTGGGCCGCACACATGCCAGGCGAGCGCGCTACCACTTGAGCCACATCCCCAGCCCCATATGTGTTATTCTTAAACTGTGTCCCTTGTCATTAGTTGTTATTCTCTTTTAAAAAAACTAAAGAGAGTTTATCATTGCACTGATAAATAAATGCAATGTATGATTCTGTACAAGGTTAAAAAAAATTGTTGTCAGGATAATATTGTCATCCTATATGCAAGAGGAACTAAGCTGGTAAATCTAGAATTGCTTTTATTAAAATGACAGGGAAGAGAAACTTACTCTAAACCCCAACCACCAAGGGTCAGATAAAACATCCAGATGACATTTGTTTTACCCGGAAAATTTGTCAGAATACTTTATTTCATTTCTCAAGCAAAAGTAGTCCTAGTAAGGATTGTTGTTATCATAAAAACAAACTTTATTTCTCCTTCCTATATTCATTCATTTATCCATTCACAAATAACTACATGCCTGCTATATACCACACAGGAGCCCAGGAACTGAGCCCAATCAGTTGAACCAGAAAAGCCTCTGTCTTTATGAAGCTTCCATTGTAACAGCAAGAGACAGAAACAAATCAGAATTTAGAGCATGTCAGGTGGTCATAATTTGTAAGGACGAAAAATGAAGAAAGGAAAGGAGGAAGGCAAACATAAAAGGGACTTTCTCTCCAGGAAAGATCAGATCACCCAGAATTTGCAGGCATTTCCAAGGACTTGGTTTTTTGTTGGGTAGGAGGAGAAGCATGGTGAATTTTGAGCAATGTAGCAACATAGCCTTGGGTGTTCAAAGAACCCCTCTGGCTGCTGTGTGGGAATTAGACACAACAGAACCAAGTATCACAAAGTGAGAAGAGTTGTGTCATTCCAGTTGGCAGATACTGCTCTTGGACTGGAATGGGTGCAGTGGAAGTTTCAAGAATAATAAAGAACCTGGAGCTGACTGGCTTCATTGACCCTTTCAATATGGTATTTGAATGAGAAGTGTCAAGAAGTAGTCAAATAGTGGTTGGGTAAGGGGAAAATGAGGACATAAGATGAGTAAGACCTAGTGACAAAGCAGCGGAATCCTTAAATTGTAGTATTGGTGGGGTTGAAGGATTTCAAGAATTGAGGGAGTAGATCAGGGATCTAGGAAGACCAAAGAAAAGCAGCAGGGATGGGGAGGATACTTGAAATTGAGACACACAGAAAGAGATTGGTACTGACAATACGACCTCATGGGCTGGCATATTCATCAGAATTGCCTTGGATTCTGAGCCTCAGTCTCAGAGTTTGGGGCTCAGTAGCCTGAGGTGGGGCCTATTTATAACAGATGGCAGATGATGCTGGTCATGTTGGTCTAGGGGTTACACTTTAAGAACTAGTACTTTGGGAGTATGGTCATAAGAGAAGGGGGCTGAACTAAAATGCAAGTTAGGATCTCTGATGGAAACCAAAGGGTAACAACTGAACATTTACAAAAACACCTACGATTCTAACAAGTAGTGTTAGAGTGATGGTGAGACGGGCTTAGGTCTTTAAGGAGTAAAAGGAAGGATCTAGTAGTCTGTATAGGGCTGCACAAATAGCAATAAATGGAGGTGTCTAATGGACTGAGCATCAATGTGGAGAATTTTTAAGGGATAAAGGAGAGAAAATGCTATATTTTACTTCATAATTGTGACCATGGTAATGCACATTCATGAATCTGCTGTGCATCCCAATCTTACATCAAAGAGCGTTTAGTAATAAAGGTTTTTAATAATGGCATAATTTTTTAAAATTTCACATAATGATTACATCCTACTTTTGCAAGAAAAAAATTGGCATAAAATATACAATGATGATGGGATGAAATATAGGTGGCCCCCAAACAGCAGATAAATAGAAGGAAGATGTCAGCAGCACCTTGAGGACCAGTGTTAGGAAAGTATGGCAGAGAAAACAGCCAGCACTTGAGATGACTGTGTGAGAAGCTAGGAGCCCTTGGCAGACCTGGGTTTCTCTATTAAAGCAAGAAAGCAGTGTTAATATTTGGAAAAGTGGTTGAAAACATAGGAGATTTTGCTAATAATGGACCATTCATTCAGAGAGTAAAGTAAAATGGTGTTCCCAGCTGAAAACGGCAGGGGATGATGTCAGCTGAGCCCTAGGGGAATTGGGAACCAGGTGATAAAGAGCCTTTGGCAGTGATATGGTGTGCAGGGTATGAGAGTGGTTTATAGCAGTTAATATTGGAGAGGGTGGGGGAGGATGGGGTCTTGCCCCAGGCACATAGAGCTCTAAGAACTTGTCTTACACCTGGGGAAGGAGCATATTACCCAGAGCTGGAGGATTTTCAAAGACACTTCCCTTCTCAGCCTGGGCAATGTCTGAATTTGAAGTCAGATCTATATTACGTCCTAGGTTTCCCTCAGATTTCACCAGGTGACCTTTAGTGCAAATGTTCTGTATCTGAGAACCACATGCTTGGCTGTTTGCTATGCAGGTTAAAGCATAAACAAGTTATAGAACCCAAAATCTCCTTATTCAGCCCATT